GACGGCGATGGTGATGGACTGTGACGGTGATGGTGGACGGTGGTGGACGGTGGTAGTGGTGGACGGTGGAGGTGGTGGTGGACGACGGTGATGATGGACGGTGACAGTGATGGTGGACGGTTGTAGTGGTGGACGGTGGCAGTGGTGGTGGACGACGGTGGTGGTAATGGTGGACGATGGTGATGGTGGTGGACGGTGGCGGTGGTGAAGAGAAGTAGAAGAAAAAAATGGGGAAGATGTTAGAAGATGTTAGAAGACATAGGTTAATATCTTCTGCAAGAAGATATCAGAAAGACCTTTTTGAGTGAAATTCTTCCAAAAAACAAACAATCTGCAGAGCTCAGCATCTGCACGCGTCTACGCAGACAAAAGAGGCCAAAAGCTCTTCTGGCCAAAAAACAAACACCCCCTTAGTTTCTTTGGTGGATTTTGGGCAATTTCCTGGAAGAAGGGTAGAAAGGACACGTGCAATATTACTTGTCTAAAAAATAGAATTCATATAATGCCACCTGTCAAAATTCTAAATATCAACTAAAAAGAACCTTTGTAAATACGTTATCTCAAAAAGACGTGAGTTAATTTAATTTAAACAAAAGTTTATAAAAGAAGTTGTAAAATATTTTTTGTCTTTTTGGTTTTTTGAGATAAAATAAAAAGTGTAAAATGACAAAGTTCCAAACAACATAGAGTTTTTGATGATGAAAAGTTAGGGGTAGAAATTAGTAAATTAATTGTCCAATGATTTTATAATAGTTAGATTGTCAATTTATTTTTATATAGAATGTGTAGGGTTGCAGAAAAGTATTTAGGGACGCTCTCGCAGTTCACCTAAATAATAAATACTTTGACTTTAACACACTAATGATAAATCGAGAGTAATTATTTAGTCACAACGGAAAACATACTTATTTTATTGTATAATAAGAAAATTTAAAGTGTAAAAATACAAATCAATAATTATGTTCACCCAAAAGTCTTCAATCTCGTTTAAAGGTAGAGAATGCTTAGGGTGCATTTAAAAAATATTCTATCTTATGATTATATCAATTTTAACTCAAATTCTTTTAACAATCATATTTATGATTGGGCCGTTAATAATCACGAACATTCAAGATTTATTTATTTTTTTAAATACAACATCTAAATAAAAATAAAATCAACAATTCATGTTAAAAATATTTAAAACATTAAGATGGACAATTAATTGCATCAACTTCTAACCCTAATGGAATTTGAAATACATATTTTGAAGCTTAAACAAATTCATACGGAGTATTTACTACAATATTGCCGACAGCCTGGCTCAAACGTGGCAAGAAGTTCTCATGATGCCATTCCTCATTGCCGCTGAAGTTTTCATTAATTAAGTCGTCTCGAGTTTCATGATGAATTATTGCTATTATTGGCATTTGCATTGGGGGAGAGAGTTAAGTGGACCCTGCCACATGATCCCAATTGCGAGCGTGGTTGTCTTAATGAGAATGTAGAATTTATACTAGCTTAGCAATATAATTAGCAACAGTTTGATTCATTAAACTCGAGGCTAGCACTAGTAATTTTAAGACTATCTAAAAAGAATCTGTTTTTGAATTTGCTATCTTAAATAAGACACAATTTTGTGCAATGTAGTTTGCAAATTGGCATTTGATGGATGAGGACAAATTCATGAAGAGTCATGTTTACAGGTAGCGGACTCGTTTCTTCAAAAGGTTGTCTTGTGGTCTCAATTGCCATGTAATGTTAATGGGAATTAAAAATCTTTCCTTTTTTGTTGTTGCAACGCGGCATATGCTACTATAATAGATGAGTTATTTGGTGCTTAGATAGTTGCTTCTTGCTTACAAGAAACTTGATTTGAGCAGAAACATTTGCCTAGTTCATGTTTCTGACTTGGAAGTTGCTGTGTTTGGTGAATTCTAAGTCGGGTGGCGAATGCAAAACTATTGCTTGTTAGCCTCGAGGCAACTCTATATGGTCTAATGTTTATGTGGAGTATAAGTTTGATGAACACATACTGAATGGGAAGAAATGATAAGAAACAAATGAGAGCTTTGATATGAATAGAACATTGCTGAATCACAAACCTTCACTATGTTAAATATTTGTGTACTGTTTGTAGGTTTGGTACTATTCTCTTAGCGAACCAGTAATTAATAGGGTTGCCGAAGAAAGAATGATTTTCATTGAATAATAGGGTTGTGTTTACATGTATTTATATTAGGAGTCTCAATCCTAAACAAGGTAGGAGAGACATATATAAGGAAACCTATACAATTATACTCCCTCCGTTTTTTAAAACACTTCCTCTTTCATTTTTTTCACTTCCAACAAAACACTTCCTCTTTACATTAAAAAACCACTTTTACCCTTACTTTTTCATACCCTACCTATCACATCATACTTTTTCTCTAATAATCTATCCATCACATCTTACTTTTACCCATCACATCA